AAATCCTTTTCAATTTTATTATGTTTCTAGTAATGCAGTAATAGACTGTCAGTAAAGTCTATCTTGCTAAGAAACTTAGTATAAATCTTAGTAAGTTCTGCTGGAAAAATTTTTAATATCATAGTTTTTATAAAATATCAGTGATATATATATATAAAATAAAAGGAGAGAGAGAGAGAGAGAGAGAGAGAGAGAGAGAGAGAGAGAGAGAGAGAGAGTTACTAGTCTGTTCGTTCGAAATTAATAAAATTCTACTTGCTCGAGAATATCCCGGACCCCTTGAAGTGACCGCCTAAATTTATCCGCAATCTACTCTTCTAGAAAGAAACAATGAGAGAGAAAATCGCGCTTCAAAAGAATCAGATCGGTTTATCTCGAGCAGAGCTATTACTTGTGCTGTATGTTACTTATGCTTGTATAATGCAAGTAGCTAAAAGAGAAACGGACAGAGAGGTGACGAGGGAGTGAGAGGGTTACAAGAGGTGGAGGAGGAGAAGGAAGAAGAGGAGGAGGAGGAAGAGGTGGAGGGTTGCGGAAGGGGACCAGTGAGTACAAGTGCATGACGTAACGGTTCATTCATCCCGAGACAGGCGATAGAGGATATCTCGGTCAATGGTATACTTATGCATGTAAACGCGCGCACATACGTGTGCGCGCGCGTGTGTACGTGCGGCATGCATGTTGTCGCTTTTCTCTTATTTTCTTTTTCGGTCGTATACGCGCCACGTGAGTGTACGCGTGCGGAGATGAGACAACGGTAGATGATGAATGCTCCTTCTGCTCCTTCTTGAGCTCTTGAATCTCACATTTTTTGTTACTTGTAACGTATGTATTTGCATGTTTATTACCAATTCTCACACATATATTTACATGTATATATCTCGATTGCAGAAAGAAGACTATTACGTCTCTTAAGTGTATCCTTCACGTACCATAGAGAGAAATTTGACGCACACACACACGGCTCGCTTTTTTCGCCTTATCTACGCGATAAGAAGCAAGAAAAGAGATCTCGCTCATCCGCACGAAATCTATGCGACACAAGCGTACAGTTAATAATAGTAACGAGGATATTAAATAATCGTACGTTGGTAATATTTATATCAGAGATTCTTTATCAAATCTTATTATGAAGATACAGATACAGCTCTCCTGCTGCGAACAATAGCTACAATCGTCAGGCGATTGAGTGGATGATTGGTATTATGTTTATATAATTCAAACGGCCATTATACGCATACACCGAATGAATTGAATGCAAAATGTGTATGGCGATCGATATCAATGAAGTGCGATAACGTTTCGTGTAATTATTCAGCGTCGCGCTAATATTCTACGTCATGAATATTAAACACGACATGCCAAAGCCAGCACTGTGTGCCGGAATACGTAAATGAGCGTATTAATTGTTGCCGATAGTGTAGCATGCGAAGCGACTGTATCGTATAGTGGCTGTGCGAGTGCACCGTTTATATAATTGGTACGTATATATAGTCGCTACATATCGATCGCGGCCTTAAGGGTCACTGAACGAAACGAAACGAAAGAAAGAACGAAGCGCCGCGTAGCACAATGCGGTATGCTTCCGCGATAACGAATAATTATGAACAGGAGTTTTGCAAAAAAGAGATTCGCAAAGAGAAGGAAAAGAGATACGGATTATCAGTTGTGTCCATTCGGCTTAGACGATGTCGCACGAAGATGAATTAAAATGGTATAAGATAAAAGTACCAACGTCCAGACATTATTGTTTTGGTCTTAAAATATAAATATTTGTGCATCGTTGTCGGAAATCTTTGTGCAAAGTTGTCGGAATATCTACTACGATGTACTCGGTTCAATGTATTTCTCAAAATACCAATTTCTTTTTATTTCTTGTATGTAAAATCTCATCGTTTTGCTCGAGATCCGTAACTTTTACCGACCAAAAATATATTTTTCGAAATGTTGTAGTTTGTCCTTTTCACAGATACAAAGTTTTTGAAATGTCAAACCATTATTGTATTCGCGGAGTTAATATTTATGAAAGTTTTTGCGCACGGTTCAGTCGATAAGCTTCGTCGGGGTCGGAAACTCAGACTTGAATTTTTCAGTGCATCCCATAGCGAGCCCGTGCGGAGCACGAAGCGCGGAGGCAGCACAGAAATCGCTTCCCCTTCGTAGAGCTGCTGCCGCCCCTCGAAGCTTACGGCCGACTGATCCTTTGTCATCTCTTTGAGCGACGTCCCTGGAGAATGTGCGAAGCGGTGTGGCAACGCAAGGGCGTATTCCGTAGGGGAACACGCGAGAGCGCGGAGAGCGTACACAGTAACAAATTTTGTATATTTATACATTAAACACGGCTCTTGTTAAAATTTCTCTCATGCGTGCAACACATCCGCATGTAAAGTTAACTAATTAGTACTATGTTATTTGAATATTGCGTTAAATTTATACCCAACGAGAGTTAAGTACACGATTAAAACAGCGTTGTTTTAAAGCGCAATTTATATAAAAAAGAATTAACGAAAATTACATTTTACAATTATGACGTATTACGGATATTAATTTCACTGAATATATTTGTATGTACATACACATACATATTTATTATTTATTATTGATGAGATTTCGTATGTATTAAAGGACGATGAATAAAATGGACCGATTTTTTTACCTAAAGCTAGTTATGCATGCAATCTTATGTTTTTGGATCGCTGAATATAATAGCATTTTTATTTGTGGAAATTCGGCTTAAATTCAAAATAAGTCACTTTTAATAGTAATTCGATTTTGTTTCAATTATTTAATTACTATATTATAGTTTAGCTCTACAACTTTTTTCACTGAACACCAAGGAAATATTTGAAAATTAAATACTTGAGAAATGCTAAATCTAACATGACGAAATCAACAAAATCAATATATCATATTGATTTCGCTAGATTTATCATTTCTGAAGTGTTTCATTTTAAAGCGTATTTCCTTGGTTTTCAATAAAAAGAGTTATAAAACTAAACTAAACTATAACTATAATTAAACTATATACAAGTAATTAAATAATTAGAACAAAATCGTCATCGAATTATAATTAAAAGTAATTTATCTCAACTTCTTTAAAACGAGTTTTAACTACTTTACCATGAGTTTAGATGGATAAAAATGTTACCGTATTCAACGAACCAAAAACCACAAGATTACATGTGTAACTTACGTTACACTTTTAGGTCAAAATTAGTCTATTTTACCTCGTCCTTTGCAGAGCAGTTATGCTAATGTCTTCCTGTAATAGAATTGTCGTTAGTTAATTAAAATGACTTCGACTTGATCGAAATTCTGTCGATTGAATAATTTCACATTAAAGTGATCAGGTTTCATGATATTTCTTTTACAGATTTGGGGGGCGAAGCACACACGATTTCTCATCCTCAATCGAAACTGAAGGAACGCTATTGCTGTTATTCTCCCACAGAAAATGTCATCTCCAGGGGAAGCCCGACGTTCTCGACTAGACGGCCACCACGACTCAGAGTCGCCAGTCGTGCCAAAGGCCAAAACCCCGGTGCCTGTTACCTCCGCTCGTAGAGCAGCTGCTCGCAGTGAACCGACTTTCAAAGAGCAACTTCTAACGAGCTCTCTGCGACTCGACAGGTCGAAGGGTTGATTGGGAATACCGTTAGGAGATCGCATCACCGCGTTTGCCCTTCTCCATTCCTGCGGATCTCGACGGCGACACTAACTGACGCTGATGGCTCGCACTAAATACCAACCAGCAATGACATTAAATCAATGTTATAACTTCGCACTCGACAATGTCACTGTTACATACTACACATGTTACATTAAGCATTCCTCACACAAGCAAGGACACAATATGTCCTTGTTTCCTATTTTTTCTCTTTATTTCTTTCTTCCAATCTTAAAGCCTGATCTACAATATGCTCTTTACATTCTGTTTCTTGTCTTCTGTCTTTTTCTGGTTTAAAGCTTAAGGTTTGAGTCAGAAAGAGATAAAGAGCAGGAAGCAAAAAGCATATTGTAGATCAGGTTTTAAGCTTGACCTACAATATGTCATTTGCTTCCTGTTTCTTTCTCATTGTTTCTTCCTGACAAACTCTAAAACCTTTAGCTAGAAAAAAAGATTAAGAATAAGAAATAGGAAGCAAAGAACACATTGTAAATCAAGCTTTAAGCCGGAAAAAGACAGACAACAAGAAATAGAAAGCAAAGAACACATTGTAGATAAAACTTTACACTTATATCTCTATATAGAAAGTTATAACATTGATATAATGTTTACTAGACGATT